CCTACAAATGGAATTGTAGAACAGATTGATAAAATGGCATTTCATACAGTATATACAGCTGAATAATTGGAGTAATGTTGCACTATTTATACCAACCAAAAAAAATGTTGCGGGCCAAATGTTACAAAATTTACCTCGGAAAGTGTATTATCAAAGAAAATGATGGTTCATTAACTTCATAAGTGAAGTCAAAAGTTTTCTTTTCAAATTCATATTTTATTTCTGCTATTGTGGATTTATGATGTTTTGTTCTTCAGGGAGCTTGCCCTGCGTGAGGAGCTGATCAGACAGGAGAAACTAGAACAGCTGGCAGCTAGGTTCAACCGAAAGGCAAGCATGCGTGAGACTTGGCTGAGTGAAAACCAGCGTCTTGTTTCTCAGGACAACTTTGGTTTTGATCTTGCTGCTGTTGAAGCAGCTGCAAAGAAGCATGAGGCCATTGAGACTGATATCTTTGCATATGAAGAACGAGTTCAGGCCGTCGTTGCTGTTTCTCAGGAACTGGAGGCAGAGAACTATTATGACATTGACCGAATTAATGCCAGGTACAGTGTTCAGGGGATGTTTGATATCAGTTTGGTTGACAGTAAATAATAGGATTGTATAAGAAAGCAAAGAAAAATAATGCCGAGTGCTGCAGTGATTGCTGACAGACATTCTATGTTGAAATGAACTTTATATATAATTGATCAGAGATGATTGAAAGGAGGAAGATGATAGGGGTTGAAAATGATAACATGCGTGGGGAGACAAGATATGAATACAGTTTTACTTAGCAAATCTGATGGAAGGAGACCACTCAAATTTCATGGTGTTGTGAAGTAAACAGTAAAGCTGGTGTGTTTTAGAAGCACCTGATGTTGTTATCTGTTGCACAAGTAGACTGTGTATACATTAATGATGGCAGTAGAACTTACCAATATTGTGTTTGTATAAACTTGTCTCGATTTGATATAAGAACTGGCTTATATTGGGTTGGTGTGTGCAGGAAGGACAATGTGCTGCGTCTGTGGAACTACCTGTTGGAACTTCTCCGTGCGAGGCGCATGAGGCTGGAGCTGTCACTCCAGTTGCAGCAGAATTTCCAGGAGATGCTTTATATCCTAGATTCGATGGAGGAACTGAAGTTGCGCTTACTATCAGATGACTATGGCAAGCACCTTATGGGTGTGGAGGATCTTCTTCAGAAACACTCATTGGTGGAGGCTGATATAAATGTGCTTGGAGAACGTGTAAAGGCAGTGGTTCAACAATCACAGCGCTTCCTTGACCAAGAGACAACAGAAGGATACCGGCCGTGTGACCCTGCCATAATTGTGGAGCGTGTACAGCAGCTTGAGGTTAGAACATTAATTATAGACTGATTAATGTGGGAAAGACATAGCACGTATGCTCTTGCAGGTTGAAAGAATAATGTTTTGTTCCATTAGGCAATTCAGCTGGAAACATTTCACCCTCGGAGAGATAAGGAGTTGGAGGACAGTGACAAGAACTGCATAATTTGTACAACTTCCCAAGTATTAGAGTAGTCGGTCAAAGGTGGTAAGATGGACATGACAAGTAGCATGTGTGTGAAAGACAAGAAATAAATGCAAAATTTTTGTTGGAAGACCTGATGAGAAAATGCCACTTAAGAGACATGGGGATATGTTGGAAGATAAAATTAAAAAGTATCTTAAGAATTAAATTGTGTGTGTGAAATGTATTAATCTGTTTTGGGATGGGGTCCATCAGCACTTAACCTTTTGGTTTCATGAAAGGCAGTTTCTTGACTACTTGGGTGACTTGCAGTTTCTCAAGATAGTCTTTGCTCGATGGAATTAACTAGAACAGAGCTATGATGGAAATTTTGTTCTTAGCTGGATGAAAAATTTTCAGAACACATACCATTGATGTTCGTAGAATCTCTGTGGTTTGAAGAATTTAATTTAATTTATTTTTTTATTCTAGGATGCTTATGCTGAACTGGTGAAATTAGCAGTGGAACGCCGAGCACGTTTGGATGAGAGCCGCAAACTGTGGCAGTTCTACTGGGACATGGCAGATGAGGAAAACTGGATAAAGGAGAAGGAGCAGATTGTGACCAATGGGGACATCGGTCATGACCTGACTACAATCAATCTTCTCCTTTCAAAGCACAAGGTAAATCAATATGCACAGCAGAAAGTGGTGATACTTTTCAGTTAGTTGCATAACATGTTTTTGCATTCGCAGTATCGGTACAAAGTCAAACCTGAAAATTCTTAAACTGACAAAGGTGAAAGCAAATGTATTAGTTAAAAAAAATTAGATGACATTTCTGGTGTTTTGTTTTAAAATTCAGCACTTCTGTATTGTTATTGGTTTTATTTTTTGTCTGGCATTCGATTGATGATAACGTTTCCACATTTGTGTATCTTTTATGAGTCTGGACAGAGACAGAACATGATGTGTTCACATATAATTCACACTGATTTTATTGTAATAATCTGTGAAGGGACTGTTACTTGTGTTTATTTCTGCTGCATATTTTGTTTGTGAACTTTTCCAGTCATTTTTAAACTTGCTGATGCATAATGACCGAATAACCAAGTGATTTTGTTACTCGTATGTCAGTGACTAGCATAGTGTAAAAAGGTTCTTCACTGTTACGAGAAAAGCTTTTCACCCGTGGATTATAATTTTGAACTGTGCTCTGTTAATGCCTTCTCCAAGAAGCATTTTAATATTATTCTTTGTCCAGTTATTTTTAAATAACCTCAGACTATGAAATTTTACAGTTGAATTTTTGTGTTTGTGTCATCCTTTCTTTTCTTTAATTTTCTTTGTTTTGTTTCTCCTCTTTTATTCTTCAACTTATATTCCTCAAGGTACTGTTATTGTCTGTATATCATACCTATTGCTGTATATTAAGAATACATAGGCTGCTTTCCATATTTACTGGTTGCTGTGATGTCTGCCTCCTTTATGTATGCACCCTACGATGTACTGGCTGTGGTGGCAAGGAATCTGTGCAATACGCTTATTTGTGTATGAATTGATTTGTACGCGCTTCACTGATTTTGAGTGTTTTGTGTTGTTTTTGTTCCTTACAGGCTCTTGAAAACGAGATAGGCAGTCATGAGCCACAGCTGATGTCAGTAGTTGCTGTGGGAGATGATCTTGTGCAGCGTCGACACTTTGGTGCTGATCGCATCCAGGAACGGCTGCAAGAGATTCTGAGAATGTGGCAACATCTGATAGATGCAGCAGCATATAGACGTAAGCGATTAGAAGAGGCCGTGGACTTCCATCAGGTGAGTTGAATGAATAGTTTCAGAACTTGAGAACTGTAGAAGTATTACTGTTTTAATGGCTTTCTTTTCAGTTCTTTGCAGATGCAGATGATGTGGATATCTGGATGTTGGACACATTGAGGCTAGTGTCAAGCGAGGATGTAGGTCGTGATGAAGCAAATGTGCAATCTCTTCTCAAGAAACACAAGGATGTGACAGATGAACTGAAGAATTACAACTCTACTATTGAGACTCTACACAAACAGGCAGAACAGCTTGGAGAACAGGATAGACAGTCTCCAGAGGTGAGACTTAACAGCTACATTTTTATAGTACTATATGGCATTGGATAGGTCACCTCATCATAGTTCTTTCATCAGTAATATCAGCATTGAGACTTACTAATTTCTGAGGTGGGACTGTGTGCTGATCAGTCTTTAGCAAGATATGCATATAGTTTTTATGGTTAATATAAATAAAGGTAATGGAGATCATGCCAAAGAAATACATGTACTGTGAATACCAGTGGAATAGGCACATTGAATTTGAATGGAATAATTTCTTTTATTCCATCATCCCAGTGGGGATATGCAAGTGCATTGATACTTTAATTTTAGGTTGTTGAACGTCTTGCAAGTATTGATCACCGGTATAAGGAATTGCTGGAACTTGCTAAACTTCGTAAGCAGCGGTTGCTCGATGCACTCTCCTTGTATAAGTTGCTGAGCGAGTCTGATGGTGTGGAGCAATGGATAGGAGAGAAGGTTAGATTTGCCAATGTTTTATTTATTTTATATTAATGTGTTTTGTTGTTTTTATGTAGTCAGAATTTTAATCAATACAATCTGATGTCTTCTTGTGGTCATTCTATGTTTTTAATGATGGGGAAACATACTTTGGTGCTTCTTGAATAGTGTACCATTTATGCCATAGAAAAATGTTATTTATTCAGGACAACAGTTATAGAATGATATTGTGGCAAATAATAGTTATGTAAATGTGGAACTAGGAAGTTTGGTCACGTGTTTACTTCATTGAAGACGTAACACAGAGTTGGCACTGTCACTTGATTGGGGGGAGGGGGGCCTTTGTCAGCTGAAATGTAACAAGCATTTGACATGACTTTTGAAAATAAATGGAGATGTAAATTTTTAACCATAAAATTGCATTTTGACCGTTAATGAAGGTGACCACCTTGTGCATACATAAGTAGAGTAATTATATTTGAATCAGTTGTTTATAACTGTGTTGTCACATAATTAGTGATATTTGCCATATTTGTCTGAAAGGAAGGGAAATGCTTGCTGTTTGAAAATGAAGTCTGGAAATGTTGTTGCATGTAAATTGTAAAGTCTTTGTTAATACATTTATGCTTACACAAATGCATTAATTTTGGTACAGAAGAAGGCAGTAAGAAGTAGCAGATTTTACATGAATGAGTACTGCAGTAACATTTTGTTTATTTCAAATGATTTTTATATAAAAATGACTTTCAAGTATATAAACATGCAATTTTCATGGCAGACATATAATAAAACACTAGTTCTACTGTTAGGTGGAATATAGTTTTATTGTGAATACTTGACTTCAGTTTATCTAAATTAGTCACATTTGGCTTCAGCATGATGCACAGAGTAATATAACTGCTGGGTAAATCATCATTTATAAATATATTTTGATGAGTCAGCATTTCTCTGAGGGAATTGTTGAATATCTTGGAAACAAATTCTTCACAGGACTTTTTTTCCCTTAGGATCGCATGCTGCAGACCATGGTTCCAGCCAAGGATATAGAAGATGTAGAGATCATGAAACATCGTTATGATGGCTTTGAGAAGGAAATGAATGCCAATGCATCACGTGTAGCTGTGGTTAACCAGTTAGCACGACAGCTGCTGCATGTCGAACACCCCAATTCTGAGCAGATTGTGGCTCGGCAAAATCAGGTGGGTTATGTCATAGGTGACGGTAGTATAGGAAAGTAGGGTGCTTGTGAAAGCGACTGTGAATAATAATCAAGAATCAACACAACACTCTGGGATGCTACATTACAAAATGAATAGAATTGTGCACAAAAGGGGTGGAGAATGTGTGGGTAAGACATGGGTGATGTTGGATGTATTCTGTGAAGTGAAATAGATAATGCTGTATAGGACTTGGTATTTATGTGTGGAATTGACTATGTAGTGGACATATTTTATTTGATGATGAAGTGTCTTAAAGTTATGGTAATATAAGTAATTATAATTTTGTCTCCATTCAGCTGAATCATAAGTGGGCAGAACTTCGGGAGAAGGCAGAAGCTAAACGTGATGAATTGAATTCTGCCCATGGAGTGCAATCATTCCACATTGAGTGCCGTGAGACATTGTCGTGGATAGAAGACAAAAAGAGAATCTTGCAGTCCACAGACAGCCTTGAAATGGACCTTACAGGCATCATGACACTGCAGGTTTGTTACATTCTTAATGTTCTGTATGGTTTGTCAAGATTGCCAAAATTGAAACTCCTGGTTTTAAAAATCACTATCTGGCTGGAAATTATGAGAATATGGTAGATACTCACCCAGTAAGGGAAGTTAATGTGTGTATTGCATTATAGCGTCGACTGTCAGGAATGGAGCGTGATCTGGCAGCCATTCAAGCAAAACTGGATTCTCTAGAACAAGAGGCTGATTCTATTGGTACAGAACACCCAGAAGAGGCAGCCATTATTCGTGATAGAATCACACAGATCCAGCAGATATGGGAACAGCTCACACAAATGGTAAATGTTAATGTAACATTTACTAACATTTTGGACTCGAAGAACAAATATTTCATTAATTTAGACTTGTGTTCAATATTTTGTTGATGTGGTTTGTAGCTGAAAGAGCGTGACTCAAAATTAGAAGAGGCAGGTGACCTTCATCGGTTCCTGCGAGATCTGGACCACTTCCAGGCATGGCTGACCAAGACTCAGACAGATGTAGCGTCAGAAGACACTCCTGCATCACTGGCTGAGGCAGAGAAATTATTGAATCAGCATCAGAGCATCCGAGAAGAGATAGACAACTACACAGATGACTATTCAAAAATGATGGAGTATGGAGAACGGATCACTGCTGTAAGTAATTTTAATTTTATTTGCACTTGTATAACCTAGTCTTTTTGTTTTCTCTTGCTCAGCTAGTAGTGGTAAGTAAGGGAGGAATAAGAAATCTGCCCTAGTCTTGCTAGGAAGAATAAGAAAGTCTTTATGCAAAATGATAGCATGACAGTCAAGTAATCTTTCACATGGCTTTAGTAAAGAAGCATCAGTAATGAATTTGTTTTATTGGTTGATGATATCTATATATGGCTTTTATTATTAAACCTGAAACCACATATTTAAGATGTTGTAATTTATGGATTTTCAATGAGTGGCATTAAAGTCATTGTTTTTATAGGAACCTTCAACGCAAGATGATCCTCAGTACATGTTCCTGCGGGAACGATTGAAGGCCCTAAAGGATGGCTGGGAAGAGCTACACCAGATGTGGGAGAACAGACAACAGTTACTGTCTCAGTCGTTGAATCTGCAAATGTTCAACCGTGATGCTAAACAGGCAGAGGTGTTGCTGTCACAACAAGAGCACATTCTCAGTAAGGACGAGACACCAGTGAGTAGTTCGACCTGTTTAAATTATAGATTTTTTATAAATCTGAATAAGAATACACTTAGCATGTTACTGTTCTGTTAATTTGTAGATAAACCTGGAACAGGCAGAAAACCTGATCAAGCGGCATGAGGCTTTCCTGACAACCATGGAGGCCAATGATGACAAGATCAACAATGTTGTGCAGTTTGCTGGTCGTCTGTGCGATGAGGGTCACTTTGCAGGTCAGTGGTGTAAAACCTCAGATTGATTTGATTCTTAGGTAAGTTAATCTGTTACTTGACATCCAGTGGTTAGTATAAGCTGCAAGAATCCAGCCAGATATCAGTATTTATGTTTTTACCTTAAAGAAATACTCCCCAGCAGAAGGGTTAAGTACATTGTGTGGTAGTAGAGATTTTATTTCATCAGTTTTGAAATCCAACTTATAATGTGTGTTTTTTTTATTCTCCCCAGCTGATAAAGTTCACAAAAAGGCAGAAAATATTAATGAGAGGCGCAATGCTAATCGTGACCGTGCACTTCAGCAGATGGAGATACTCAAAGACCAGTTGCAGCTTCACCAGTTCCTACAGGTAAAGGAAATGGCCCAATGCATATGCAGTAAAAATGTTTATAAAAATCATATGACCACTTGTAATACCCATTTTACAGACACATGTGGCCATTCTCAGACTCTATGAGACTCATTTCAGATGCCCATGCACACACACATAAATGTGTGTGCATACATTTTTCATTCTCTGATGAATGTACATACCCTCTCCCCAACTCCACACTCAGTGACCCACCTATTCATATAGTTTCACATAAAATTAGCATATTTATTTGTAATCATCCTTGATAAATATGGATATTCATACTTAAAGTACAATTTGTGACTTTCTTATAACAGAGAGAAAATTTGGTTATGTAAGGTTAGTGGCAGATAACAGTAACTTAGGATTGGCATGCTGCTTCAAGCATCTTTAAGGTCACAGTTTTTTGTAACAGTGTATTTGTAAACGTTTTTATGAATTCTTTCCCATGTTCGATGAACCCAAAATTGTTCATGTGTTTATAAGTTTGCTAAACATGGTTGAGCCAGACTTGACCGTTCATGTTACCACATGCAGTGGTACATTAATAATGGCCATAAATTATCGCAGGTAATTATTTCCTTATAAATGTGTTATATGAATTACAGGATTGCGAGGAACTGAGTGAATGGGTGCAAGAGAAGAATATTACAGCACAAGATGAGACATATCGCAGTGCAAAAACTGTGCACAGCAAGTGGACTCGACACCAAGCCTTTGAGGCAGAGATAGCATCCAATAAGGACAGGCTTTTCCATATCCAGCAGGTACTTACAAAACTACTTGCTATTGTTTTCTCATTTCTGAATGTTATTATAACATTATGTTGAATTTCAGCATACTTTTACATACTGTAATAAATTATAATAAGAGTAATTTATTACAAGAGGCATGAATAATTTAAAAGTGATGTGAAAGAAATTACTCTTCCAATAGTTTGGTTTTTATCCTATAAAATCCTGTATTTTTTCTCTCATTTCTTCTGTGTTACATGCTTAATGTATTAGAAACTTCTTTCATAAAGTAATGCTATGAAAGGGGTAAAACTACAGGCCCATGTTGCATGATTTTGTCTATTCCCTGTTTAATTCAGTGCTGTTGCACTATACACATCATGTGATCTGTTGTCTATCATAGCGTGATTAGTGAGACCCTGTACTGTGCTATCATGCTGAGAGTCGTGAAGGTTGAATTTTGATATACTTCAAGAGGTTGGTTAAATGAAGAAATTTGTTTAAACAAGTTGGTCACATACAGGCCATATCCAGATTTTCTGTAAAAATATGTTATTTTATAGTTAGGTCTTGCAGATAGAGTAATTATCCATTGTGAAATATTTTAATAAATTGCTGCACGAGTCAGGCATCAATGAAATTTTAGGAATTGTGTGTTATTTATGTGACTGAAATTTGGTGTATGCACCTCATACTCTTATCTTTGATAAATGGGTCATTTGTGTTGTGCTTTATAGAATACTTGGCTTGAAATTGGTTTTCCATATTAGGAAAATGGAATAATTCTAATTACCTATTAATGCACATTTATTCTTGAGAAAAAAATACAGTGTGGATATAAGATCTTTCACTACACTTTTTCAACAGCCTTTGTTTGTTGGTGAGTGACCCTTCCTTTTTGTAGATTATATTTTCCTTATTACAGGCTGCAAAAGAGCTGGTTAAAGAGAAACCAGAACTGGCAGAACTGATTGAGCCAAGAATTTCTGAACTGGGTCAGCAATTTGATGACCTGGAACAGGCTACTAAGGATAAGGGAGAAAGGCTTTTTGATGCGAATCGTGAAGTGTTGCTTCATCAGACATGTGATGACATAGACACATGGATGAATGATCTGGAGAAGCAAATTGAGTCAGAGGACACTGGTACTGATCTGGCCTCTGTTAATATCCTCATGCAGAAACAACAGGTATCTATTATGAGATTCCCCAAAATGTAGAAGTCTGTTACTAAATGCCTTACTATTTTGAGTTAATTCATTATTATTTTACAGTTAAATTCATAAAGGTAAAGTAAAGTGGTCCCTTTGTCTAAGCACCATGCCATGAAGATATATAGAGGGATGGAGGTAATGTTTCACATATTCGTAATATTGACACTAATTTTAATTCTATTGGTCAGTTTCATTCTGCAGCCAGTTTACCTCTTTAACCTTCTTCACAGCTCGTCTGGACATGATGGCAAAAAGAAAAATCTTTGTTCCAGTTGGAAATTGGACTGTAGTCATCTTTTTTTATAGACTGGCTCTAAAATGTGATACTGAAGATACTTGATTTAAGGACTGAGATTGTGACATGCTGGAATCTGGCTGTTGCTGAAAGCACCCATGTTGAACTTACCTGGCTTAATGTTTTCCTGCAGATGTTAATGGCCCAATTAAATGACAGCACTTCATTAATGCAAGCACAAATTATCATACTGTTGCATGGCATAAAAGCCCTTAAAGAATACAGATCAGATTGTATATCAGGGTACCTTGGGCTCATAAAGGATGTGTGGTGAGAGAATGAGCAGATTAATTTGTTGATTTAGATGATTGAGACCCAGATGGCTGTGAAGGCGAAACAGGTGTCTGAGTTAGAGACACAGGCTGAGTACTTGCAGCGAACTGCTCCAGAGAAAATGGATGAAATCCAGGTGAAGAAGTCCCAGGTAGAAATACGATTTGAGCAGCTGAAGGCTCCTCTGCTGGACAGACAAAGACAACTTGAAAAGAAGAAGGAGGCATTCCAGGTGAGATTTCAGGTTCTCATGGTGGGTACTATGAAGATGGCTGTGTAGTCTGGGAGAGATTTACTGACATTTCAGAGGTGCTTGCTGCCCTTGTCATCAGTGAGTAAGCCTTGCATAAGGAAATCTGTTCTTCACAGTGCTTGCTTTGTTTTCAAAATGTCAGCAGGGATCATCCCAGCATTTTTCATATGCTGTTTAATTCTTGTCTTTCTATGAATTGTAATTTTATCCATTTTACCATAATTATTCAAATACCACATGGCTAAAGCTAAGATCTAAATGCCAAAACAGAGCAAACTTAATGCTGAAATTGACTTTGAGTAATTGAAATTGAATGTAAAATAAATGAAAGCAAGGAACAATATTAAATATATTTCCACTGTGACTCGTGTGACATGGTATGTAATGTGGTAACTACTGACAGATTTAACTTTTCTCTTCCCAGTTCCGACGTGATGTAGAGGATGAGAAGCTATGGATAGCAGAGAAAATGCCACAGGCCACTTCAACTGAGTATGGTAACAGTCTTTTCAATGTTCACATGCTCAAGAAGAAGAACCAGGTAATGTTCATAGAAATTTGGGAGTTAGAATGGAGTTAATCACTTTTTGTCATTACTTCAGTTTTGCTTTCTTTGATTAAAGGCAGTTTTACTTGTATTTAGGCAGTATGCTGCAAGACATAATACAGTGAAACCTCTATCCATCGTTCCCGGAACTATCGTTTTCCCGGATGCATCGTCCGTTTTGTTCGGTCCCGAATACATCCCATATAAAATAATGTTACATTTTCCCGCTTCTATCGTTCCTCGAACTATCGTTTTATCGCATCGATCCTTAAAAAATCTTAGTCCCAGCACACAATTTTCCCGCAATGATCGTTTCTGAGAAATTAAAATGCTGGGTTTTGAGATAAATTAATACTGAAAGATGCACAATGTTTTTGGAATACACAGTAGCGATAACCTGTTATGTCGCCCAACCAGCACATTCTTTTGGAATGAGGGTCAGCGGTGCAGGGGTGATA